TGTTTGTTTTTTTTTTTTTTTTTTTTTTATTACGGGTACGTATTCCAAAGGTGACTATACTATTTACTTTATAGTACTACAGTGCTACTAGTCGCTATTCCAATAGCCTACTTACATTTCTTACCTCACTTGTTACACTAGTTTACTTGTCATATGTAAAGATTAGTCAGAATACCTTCTTAATAGTGCAATTCAAAACGCTACAAGTAACAACTTTTCAGTTAATATGGGAAAAAATAACCTGAAATAATAACCAAATAAAAAAAAATATTGGTACCTAATGAATACAGCAACAATTGGAATGCATGTCAAAAATAGTAGCAAAGGAATACGTATTAGTATGCAAGGAGTAAGTACCAGTATTTAATGAAAAAGTGGTGAAATTGAATAAGATACTAGTCACTATTGTATTATTTGCTAGTAATTGAAAAAAAAAAAGTCATAGTAGCAAAAAATAGATACTAGTTAGTTTGAAGGAATAAATGTTAAAATGGTTTGCCATAGGAGGGAAAAGGTTTGAGGAATTAGATGCTCATTAAGCTGGTACTGTAGCAAAAAAAGAAAAAAAGTCTGCAGACCTTTTTTTTCTGGCAGCATGACAGGGTTTTATGGATTTTTTTCTGTAGGTCTACAATTACTGTTCAACTAAAGCGGACCACAAAGGGAAAATCTGAGAACTTCTATGCATCTTATACCCTCTTTCTAACTGCAGGGAGCTGAAAATGTAAAGACTGTGGACTGACTCAAAGCAAATCTGTGAACTATTACTGTTCAGGACGTTTCTTTCAAACGTTGTTTAGTCATTTCTAAATGCCAGAACTTTTTTTTCCTCTTTTCTTTTCTTTTTGGAACCGATTCTGTTTACCTACTGGTTTGAAACTTAAGCAGCCTAAACCTCCTTAGAGTTGCAGGTGTTAGAGGAAGCATTTTGATACATAACAGACCTCATCTTTTTAAAAGAAAGCAAACTATTTTCAGGCATATTTTTGTACAGTTAAAAAGGGAATGTTCTTACTGGGCACTCAGTGAGTTTCAGGCACTTCTTCCCTTTATCATTTGTTTTAAGCATGCAAGGGAGTCCTGGTTTAAGGATTAAGTTTAAATTAAAACTTGCATCAAAAATGCCTTGTGATTTTAAGCTAGGTTTTGTACAGCTGTAGATCAAATTTGTTGAGTATTTGTAGAACATATGGCATTGGGGAGGGGGGAGATGCATACCTCAGTGCTGGTATTAGTTTCAAAATTGTATATGTACTGTAAAATAGTAAAGTTAGGAGTTTATGTATATCATACTCGTGATATGTGGATGAATCCCAAATCGCAGGTGTGAGACTGGATTTTTTTTTTTTCTAATGGCACATACTGTTTCCCCTTCATTTTTTTGTGCAATATATTTACTTGTAAATGCAGACCATCTACATTTTTTTTTTTTGTTTTTGCATTTTTGTAGCAAATTGATGGACAGTCAGACTTTTGCTCTGTCAACATCATTATTTGTCATGATGCTGAAGTCATTGATGAATAAAGAAATCAGCTGGAACTGATCGTAACTGAATATGGTCACACAGTGTGCTTTTCTGTGGAGAAAACCCCCACCATTTCTCTTTAAACTGACCCACAAAAATGGACAATTCATGTCCTGCAACCAATTTGAAAATGTCTCATTTTTGAAAATGTGCCATAATGGGCAAATAATGAATGTCGGTGGTCTGGCTGAAGAAATACCAAGAAAGCAAAAAAGGTACATTCCATATCCTCGTTTCATATGATGAAACATTTTATTTTCAACTTAAGACTGCCGTCTTTTCTATTAAAAACAACAACAACCATAAACCTGTATTTTTGTTTCTTGCACTTAAACATATTTTGTTTATTTTTGTGTGGGTCTTACATGAAGTCTGTTTTGATACAAGGTTTGGAATATGATGGACTCTTTGCCAGGGAAAAATGGTGAAGTACAAGGCAGTCTAGCCTCACATTCCAAATGTGAACCTCTCTTTGACTCATCTTTTAATAAACAAATACTTACCACCATAAAATCTCCTCTCAATTTGTTAAATGAAATGGTGATGTCATTGTTTGTATTGTATAAGTGGGCTACCCATAAAAATAGGTCAAAAAGCTTTACATAATCTGATCTTGCTTTGAAAATATACATCTTTCCTGGCAGGAACCAGTGAAAACCCACCAGTTTAAATCAAAACAATGCTTCCCTTCTCCCGTTCGAAGCAACGGCCCCTTTAAGAAATCAAATTGTGCGCTGTTTGAAAGTGGGGTCTTGTGATTGGTGGGATTTTGTGGCCTGTTGGAGTGAAGAGGAGAGATGCAGCATGAATGCTTCATAGCTGCCACTAATCACTGCCGGAGAGCCCACCTCCACCCATGAAGCCATCCAACTCACACTGCCCTCTTGTTTTGTACTAGTGACCAGTCATGCAGCTTAGAAAAATGGTTTATAAGCAAGAATACACAATCACTCTTAAATATAATCTGTCCTTTGGCATTTCAAATCAATATGCATTTAAGAACATGATTACTGCAGCATTAATGTGCTTTTAGTCTCTGAAGCATGCAAATGCATGAATGCATCAAAGGATGCATTTACTAAATCTTGCATGGAATGCACTAAAATTTTAATATGCAAATTACCCTTTTTAAATACCTTAATTGCAACCTTTTAATTTTGGATACATGGCTTTTTTTTCTAAATTTCTGATGGCGTATTTCTACTATGGAATAGAATAAAAAATAAAAATAAAATAAAAGGTAATTGTGAGCTTTTATCTGACAATTCTGAAAAAAAGTTTGAATTGCAAGATATAAATTTAGGATTGCGAATTTCTTGCAGTTCTGAGTTTATATCTTGAAATAATTTTTTTCCAAATGTACAGTTTACATGTCACATTTTTTTTTCCCATTGTGACTTTTGTCTCACAGTTCTGACTTTTTATCCCCCTCACAATTGTGAGTTCATATCTTCCAGTTCAGACGTTTCTTCTCTGAATTGTGACTTAAAATCTATCAATTCTTACTTTTTTTCTCATAATTGTGTTTATATCTTGCAATTCTACATTTATCTCACAATTCTGAGTTTATATCTCATAACAATTATCTAAATGAGCAAGAAGCAGCTTTGGTAATGAAGAGCAATGGAGAGCAAAGATAAATGCATTACATCATCTTGATGTAATCGTAAGTGATTGACATGCATGGATGTACTGTATGTATTTAGTTGGGCCATTAAGTCAGTCAGGGCATCAGTAATAAAACATTTATCTGGCTATTACTTTACCTGACCTCTTGGTCAAAGTTACTAATGGATTCAGGGAGCGATTCCCTACAGAATGTGCACATTGATTTTGTGCTCCTCTGAAATATCTGGTCCGGCCTAATGCCACCGGAACACAGTGAAATTAAATTAGTGACCCGTTAAAATTTCCCTCCATTTCCTCTTTAAATAAATGGAGATTTGAAATGCTTGGGAGACACTGAGTAGGATAACATCTATCAAGTCCAGCAGTTGGAAACTGGTGTCAAAAGAAAGTAATTTCCAATGCTTTAAGCTCTTAAATCATTCATAAAATCTGGATGTCATGGCCAAATGCCACATGTGACATCTACATAAAGGCTCCTGGCAAGGAAGCTAATGGTTAAAGAACATTTTTAGATTGGATGTGTTGCTCAAAATCTTAGCAAGTCTTCCTCCAAGATG